TCGAGTACACGGGAGTACGTCGTGAAGGCTAGTCGGTACTTACCCAGTACCTTCGCCTACAATATCGTGTGAAACTTGTGGCGAGGAAATCGGGTCAAACACGAGTGTCACAGGTGAGAGCTGTGGTTCGTAGATAGGTCTTAATGTAAACATCACGGGTCAGGTTCTTGGTTAATTTTCGCCGGTGTTTTCCTGTCGAAACATGTTTCAATGTGTTATTCTTCGCCTCGTTCGGATGGACGTTGTTGCTGACTGTGGCACGCGCCATTGGAACATAAATGGTAAAAATTCGTTTTCTAAGTTACTTAATAAAACCTCAGTTTTCAGAATGGTCAAGTAAGTACTTTCATAGGAAAAAAGTTCCCAAAAATACGTACATTTTCTGTGTTCTATACCAGGATTAAATGTAAGATGGTGCTTAACAAAGAACAGCAAACATTAGAAAACCACAGATTTCACAATTATCCATGAAGAATAAATAATATGATGTAAATAAAAAAATGTGTACATGTTGTATGTATTTCCCGTATTGCGTGTAACCATCGTCGATCTTCAGAAATTCGGTTTGCTTCCAATACTCCTACGGTTCACTCTTGGGACCCGGTTTTTGTTCGTTTGCCACGTTTCGGTAGTTTTCGAGCCAAAGGGACGGCGTCGACATAGACTTGCGTGGGTGGAGCAACCCGTAACGGAAAGTGAATTTTCCGCCACCCTTCCGCTTTTTCTTCGTTTTTCACGCGTTACACTTGCGCACACGCGTTGTCTCCTTGTGCGAATACTATACAGGGTGACGTAATAATTCATATTTTCTTCAATTTTTTCTTTTTCGTCCTATCAGTGAAAAATAAATATCACGATTAAACGGTGTACATCTGCTAACTTTAAATAATGTAATATAATTTAAGAAATAGATATGTATGCGGGTTTAAACATTTTTGTAGGTTATGTTATGTGTAGTATCGCACATATTTCTCTTCAAACTTTCTCTTTTACTTTTATTTGAAAATTCGTTTATACGATGTAGTGATAATAACGATACTGATAAGAAGAGTAACAATGATAGTAACAACAATAACCTAACCTTTATGCACGAATATAAAATTGTTTGCAAAAGGTTAGAGAAGGGACGAAACGAACGCAAGAAACCGAAAAATTAAATAGAAAAGATAGGTATGAACAGTACTTTATAAAAATATTTATAATCTTCTTCCATCATCATGCAGAAATGTTATGTTTTATTTTACACGGAAAGAAAATTGTAAAAGAGGAAAACGACACATAGAAACCGGTTCTGAAATTTATAAATATGTAAACGACAAGAAAGTTGTTCAATGTCTGTTTTATATGATTATAAAGAATTGGAGAGTCGTTGTTTATCGATAATTATTATTTTATTCAGCATAGCTGGCTTGAACAAGAGAAAGGTGTTCTCTACTTCTACGTCGTTGTCTGTAGCACTATAAACAAATATTATAGTATGTTGATAGTAACGTGTCATCAAGAAACTCGACGAGTTCGTGTACATCATACTAGAGTAGATTATGCAGTATAACTATACATATATGTAGTAGCCTGTACGATATAGTAAGGTTATAAAATCGGTCAACCGTCGAAGCTTATACGTTTGAACATTTTAACGAGTGAATGGTACAAACCTTTGAAGATATAAGGTAAAATGTACACCAGCCTTGCTTCAATCTTTCCTGAAAAACGTAGAATGCAGTTGTAGGTGTCATTTTATCAATTGATACCATTCCGTGATTTAATTTAAGACTTCGCTATATTGTAGAGGTTACTACGTTCATCCGAGTTCGCCCGAGCGATCGTGATAGAGTGCTAATGCGCATTCCGTCTGCGCAGAGAATAGATGGTTGGATGAGTTATCCCCACCACAATATTTCTTGTTGCAACTTGCACTTTTACGGTCTTGTATGGAAGGAACTATTCGAACGTAAGTGTGCATGCACTGTCTTTTAACCACGTTGACGAATTGATCGCAAATATAATTAGTTGATTGTCAGATGAAGGTCTCTTACAAGCTTCTTATTCTCATATTATAGTAGTCATCACGATATAACGAGACTTTAAAGCAACGAGTAGCGACACTAATTGATATAGTGACATTCATGGGCGCATTCTACATTTTCTGATAGGAACTAAAGTCAAAGTATACTTCTCACATCGACTTGCTGTAAGTTAAATCACAACGAAAAAGCTTTAAGGTATAACATCAGCAATAACATAATGACCCAAAAGTAATGCAACAAAAAATAAATTCGTTCTTTTTTTGTCATTTTAGTAACTGTCAAACGGCCTATTTTATGAAGCAATAATTATTGCCCCACCCTGTATAGACACGGGCAAAGCGGAGAGAATTTCTCGTATATCTTCAGCTCGCCGGAGGCAGCACTTAGCTTTCGGGATGAGTTCGTTAGAGTCCTCCGCTGTCTTCTGCTCGAAGACACTCCCGAAGGACGTGGAGGATCTTTCGATATTACCTCAGCTTGTCTTCTATAGGTTTCTTGCTCTCTCAAGTGTCTTCTAATTTCCAGCGTTCCGACGACCGTTCAGTTTTTGTAATTTACGGACCGTTTAACATTGGTAGGTTCTTTTTTTTTCTTTTATCTTATAGAGAAATGATTTAGTACGGTAACGATGAATGGGTCTGCCGATTTTATGGTATTTATTAATTGCGATTATCTAACCTCTCTCTTTACCGGATTACGATAAGCAGGACGATTGTGATTTTACTGATATCGAAGATGCTGGATTCCTCAGGATATAGATCCCGATGATCATGGGTTTCGTGAAAGTCGATAGCAGGAAGTTTGGCCGCGTTAGACCTGACGTGAACGATCCTAAGTTTGTAGAATAAGATCAGCCTGGACTCAACGCCAATGATTCAAAACTGGAGAAATTTGATACTCACGTCTTCGAAGTCGTGAAACTCGATACTAGTAATACAGGACTTATGAAACCAGATACCGTGGATACCGGATGTTGAGAACATGATAGAGGCGACATTGAAATCGTGAGAGTGGATATAGACCACTTTTAGGGCAATAGGACATTACTAGTGACAGATACATTCATAAGATGCCACGTGTTTTTAATTGCGAGATCATTGAACTTGATATGAACAAAATTTGTTGTGTTAAATATTTCTAATATGAGATATGTATCCGTATTTGCACCTCATAGGAGGAATTATTAGTTTTGGTTTAGTCTAAACATGTGTATGGTTTCTGAGGTTCTACTAATGTCTGTCAGTGGTATTGGAACATTTTGTTGGTCTCCGAAACTACCAAAATACTGACAGGATTTAGGAGGAAACTTCAAAGGTATTATCAAAATGGAGAAAAGATATACAGGTTTCCAGCTTTAAAAATTGCTAGAATTTCAATGATAATTAATTAACTTACAATGTACTTCCAATTTTTCTCAAAGATCCAGTATTTCCTAGAACTACTTTGCAGGATACATGAACTCTGAACTCTAAGAAGAAATTTCCAGGAAATCTCATCAAACTCATCAATATTTTCAAAAACAAAAATACGTAGCAATTTTGGTCCCATTTTTTCGTAATATAATTTACTTCGTCAATTTATCTACCAGCTACTACAATTCAAGTTACCATCCAATATACAATACTTCCATTAATTTAACCAATATACGTAAGCCAAGTATCATTAAAGCAATCTCCTATCCATTTCCCCTTTCAAACAGCCAGTTGAGAAATTCTTCTTACTAAAAAGAAAATCTCGATCAGCTCACTCGAAAAATACCGTTCCGCCTAAATTGACTCGACGACAAATTGGTATTGCACAGTTGCTGCCGCAGGAAGGCACGGGCATTATTCGAGCGTGATGATGATGATCGATGTGGTGCGTTGGATCCGCGCTTGAATCACTCGCGTTTTAGCCGGTCGCGACCGGCCGTTGTGTCCTGGCCGGTGTACAGGGACGACGGGTGGCCGTGTAAAAAACACGCTCGCTGCTAAGACCGGACCTTGATGTGGAGAAACTCGCTCCTGGCGGATCGCGGAACGGCCTCGAGAATCCCGATTCTCGGGAAAACTCTCTCTCTGGGAAGTAGTTTTCCACGAATCTTTCAACGTCTTGCGTTAAAATTGTGTTGTAGGGGTGTGCCGTTGAGGAAAATAGTTTGGAAAAATTATCCTTTTTAATTAATTGTTTATTGTTTATATTATCGTTTCTTAAACGTTTATATTATCACAGTCAATATATCATTCACTACGATTGGATCTGACGTATTATAGAAATGTAAATAATTCTAGGTTGAGAGACGTTCACGGTCTACTGATTCCCATGTTTCGCAATCGCAATTCCCCTGATATCCAGCAATATTAAGCCATTCAAGAGAGGATTACTGAATTCTTGGAAGAAATTCAGATGAACCCTACAGAGATAATGTTTTTAAGTGTTTATTAGAACAGAGTACGCTTAAAAATCTATGAACGACCAACTTTACGACTTCAACTATTCTCAAATACATTTTACCTCATATCTCTAGCTTTCATTGTTAAATGATTAAATGTTCTTCTTGGAGTATCAACGAAATTTAATTAACCTGAATGAATCTTCGTATACACGTATCCTCCTTTTTATTTTTATTATGTCATATGTTTTAGTAGAATACTAAAATTTCAATTAAGATATAAGATATATAAAACTTCCATAATTTTAATAAAGCATAGAAAGTAGTAAAATTCTTTTGGGATGTATATAACTTACCCATTCCACCAGAAATATAAAATATATAAAATTTTTTTATATTCATAAAAATGTAAGACATTAAATTTCCTTTAGAATGATGAAAGTTCGAAATCCATAAAAGATTTTTATATAAATAAAATATATAAAGATTTCTTCATTTTGTATGTTTTTAAAATATATTATTCGCTTTTTATGATATCAAATAAGACATTTATCGAGCATTGCTTTTCGTAACGTCGTAGCAGCAATTGCTCTACGATGTTATATCAAGTTAAATTGTGCACCGTGTTCCGTGTCTCGACCAGATCTGTATCAAATTCAACGGCACATAAGATTTTATAGTTTGTAGTAGAGTTGCAGATCCATGCCGTGTTTCATGACTGTCGTACTTGTGAACTGGGTGTAATGATAGTGAAATTAATTAACGCTGTAAACGATCAGTTTTATTTTAGTACACTGATGTTACCACGTGTATTTTATGGAAAGTAGATTTGTACCTTCTGTTTTAAAGTTCTTGTATACAAGTTTGTTACAGCCGCATTTTGATGAAATTGCATTTGCACGAAACTATAATATATTCTATCCAGAATCCTTAAAACGACTTAGATAGCTTCTATTTCTTTCGTAACGTTCTATCTGTGAATATAAAAAATTATATTAGAGCAAAAGAATTTTGAAATCGGAGGAATTTTAAATATGAAACTGACAAACCGCGGAAGATTAATTAAAGTAAAATTTTCAATGAATTTAAAAATACTAGAAATGATGAAAACCAGAGTACGCCCTCACCTAATCTTACTTTTCCATTACTACGTTCCAGCATACCGTTTACCCCTCAGCAATAGCAAATCGCGTCTCAGCTATATTTATCCTAATCGTCCCCTTCCTCTCAACTTCCTCCGTACGTTTCTAACGTTCAGCCGATGTTTCTCCTGAGAAACCTTCTGCACAAAATTCTCCCTGTTTTTGGATCGATCGCGCAAGCCAATCGTCGAGGACACGGACGAGCGCGATTTACGAGCAGTCGGCTTAAACCCTATGATCCTCCTCTTTCGGGTTGCTGCTTAGATCTGCAGCCACCCAGACAGCCTCTGTTTCAGTCTGCTTCTCTCTGTCCCTCTTTGCCTTTGAATCTCAGCTAGAGACTGTCGTCGTCGACGACAGATCCCTCTGACGATAAACCTTCTCATCGACAACGAGCTTATCGCCTTGAATTATCCACACTAAAAAAGAGAGGAAAAAGAAAAAGGTAGCTAAGTAGAAAGGAAGAACTGTGTCGTTTGCTTAAAAATTGACGATTATCATGGAGAAATCGAATTAAAACTTGGTTTAGATAGGTTAGGTTTGGATTTGAAATATTTGGATTAATGAAATATTAAAGATAGGTTAAGAATTACCTGTCTGTACTGGAAATGAGTAAAATAATTCTGGAAAGTAATTTAATGATATTGGTTACCTAGTCCTTCCTTAACTCCTTCGCCTACAATATTGTGTGAGAATCGTGACAAGGAAATCAAACAAAACATGAGTGTCACGGGTGAGAGGTGTGGTTTGTAGATAGGGTCTACGTAAACAATATAGGTCAGACTCGTGGATAGTTGTTGCCGATGTCTTCTGCCTCATTGTCAGTTACGTGTTATTCTTCACCACATTCGGGCGAACTGACTCGACGTGTGTCCGACTCTGCTGTTGATTATGGCGTAGTAATAAATCGTAGTGTAAGTGGTTAATTCTTTGTTGTGTAATATAGTTTAAATATAAAAACAACATTACCGTTTATTTCTTATATACTTTGTTGCAGACTTTACTTGCAAAGACACTTTAAAATATCTGTAGTTTAGAGATACTTCATTATAACCTTTATTTACACTTCCATCGTCAGATACATAACCACAAACTTCGTTGAAATCAACCGC